CTCTATCCCGCCATAAGCACATAAGAGGTTTCTACTCTGTTGGGCTCAGCAGCAGAACACCCCTAAAGGATATTGGTGAAATACCCTAAATGCAACACCACTAAGGAACATCACCGTGTTCTCCCAGCAGAGGTGCTGGGCGCGCTTGTTACCACCTCCTGGGGTTAGATCTGCACTATGACAATCTTGCTTTGCTGTCTTTATGTCTGAATTAACCTCCTCATCTACCTGCAGCACTGGACTGCATTTGCCTGGCTTCTTAGGGGACGTCCTGTTTACCTTTATTTCGTTTAAAATTACTCACACAAGACCCAAGTTATAAAACACGTACTGGGAAAGGATCACTTCTGTGCCACTTTCCTGACATGATTTCTAAAGGTAGAAAAAAACCAACTATGGGTTTGGCCCGGTTCCCACTGCTTGTTTGAGGGCTGCAGGGTGTGCAGGTTGGGTCATGCCGCCTGCTGAGAGACGTGGAGCTCGCTGTTGTCCCCTGGGCACTCGGGGCATCTCAGTTCATTCACACCGAGGTCGCTTAAAGCAGCGTCCTGCCAAGGGGCGTTAAGATGGGGCAGAAGGGAGCGCTCACCGCCACTGACTGCGGGTTTCTTTCCTCTCACAGGACACAAGTATGAAGGAGTCAGATTTGAAAAAGGAAACTGCGGAGTCAGCATCATGAGAAGTGGTAAGTGCTTCCTGGTGTTGAACGTTTTAGAAACCTCTGAGCAACTTCCTTTCAAAAATGTGCATCAGTGCTTTCCTACAGCAAAGTTCTACCCAAACCTGCCCATTTGTTGTCCTTTCGTAGGTATCCTTGATCACAGGATGTCAAGTAATACGTCTCCTTAACATTTTAGGAGACAAAGAGCTGCAACAGATCGCACCTGGCCCCTTCTCCCCCTGCGAGAGGACACCAGCTGTCCCGTCTCGTTCGTCCCCAACTCCTTCTGCTCACAGACAGGCCTTCAAATAAACCACGCTCGGTGGTGGGGCCGTCTCTGGCATTTTGCCCGTAGCTGCGGAAGCTTTTGTATCTGTGACGTAAAATCCCGCAGCTCCACGGATCATACACTGAGTAGACTCCTTTTTGTCTAAACAGAGGAAAAGGAAAGCAGCTTCAAGTGCTTTTGACACTTGGAACTGAAAAAACCCACAGCTCCTTTTTAGAACTCTTTACCAATCCAGTATCAGGACTGTCTGTTTAATGGTAGCATCTTGCAATTGTGCTGTTTCTTAGTGTGTAACCACTTGGGTTTGTTCTTTTTTCTTTTTTTCTGCTCGTTTTCAGGAGAGGCAATGGAACAAGGGTTACGAGACTGCTGTAGATCGATCCGCATAGGAAAAATCCTGATACAGAGTGACGAGGAGACCCAGAGGGCCAAAGTGTACTATGCTAAGTTTCCACCAGACATTTACAGGAGAAAAGTTCTTCTTATGTACCCAATACTAAGTAAGTGTCTTTCTGAATTTAAAGGGAAGTTCCCAAATTTCAGGGGCTTTGGTTAGGCTTTTTGCTTGGTTTAGGTGACATTTATCAGGCTGTGCCACAATACGTGCCACCCAGCCTGCACCAGCTTGAATGTGGAGCCAATGATTTGGGCAGTGCCTGCATTTGTGAGAAAGGCTGAAACAGTAAGACTCGATATAAATTTCATTTTTAAATTTTGCAATGAGAAAAGACTCAAACAGTATTTTTCTCATGCTATTAGAAGACATTAAAAAAAAATACCTGGCAAGTGTGGCAAGGAGTTTGTCCGGATGAATAATTTTTCCAGCCTCAGATGTAATTCTGGTTCTACGCACGGATCTCTCAGTTGCCACTTTATTATTTTAGATGAGCTTTCTTCCCCCAGGCCTTTAGTCAAACCCACCAATTTCAGTGGTTAAAACCTGGCAGAGTCAGCTGTTCGACAGTAGATCTGAAGTTCCTCCATCAGGAGCCCCAAGTTTTTTACAACTGATCCAAGCAGAGGTGACAGTTTTCCAGTGGGAAAGGACAGTATCATCATTCCGTCACACACCAGCATTAACACGGATGTTCTCGGGTGGCCTGGGACACGTTCCTCAACCGGGGGAAAAGAAAACAAAAATCTCCCTTTATCGCCTCTCAGGTACTGGTAACACTGTCATTGAGGCTGTCAAAGTTCTCGTAGAACACGGTGTCCAGCCAAGCGTCATCATCCTGCTGAGCCTCTTCTCCACGCCTCATGGTAAGTGCAGAGGGATCCGGGCGACAGAGGAGCGAGGAGCACAGGTACGGTTAGCGGTCAAGAGCTTTGGACAGTGGTGAAGAGCTGTTGCTTTGCAAAGAACGGCAGCAGCGTCGCTTTGCTGGAAGAGAGGGTTCTTTTTTTTTTTCTTTGTGGTCCGAATCGTAACAGAGTGAGCAGCGACATGTTTGCTGTGGGCTGGCAGAAAGAAAAAGGGCTGTTACGCCTAATGGTGAAACTGCAAATGGGAAAGCATTCCTAAAAGCAGAAATTTCACGTTGATTCACCACAAAACGAATACTAGTTCTGTAAGGAGCACGAGGTAAATGAGGCGACAGAGCAGACTCTGCATGTTCATGATCTTAAATAAAAGAGGATCCAAAACAGTAACATCTGTGAAGCAGGAACGTGGGTCTTGGGTGGTGTTTTAAAAATGGGCTGTGGCGGAAGTCAAGGAAGTGAGCTGAGCTGCAGAGCGTTATTCCTGGCAGTCTGGCACTGCTCAGGTGATTAGACTGGGAGTACACGTGTATGGTAAAGAAAAGAAAAATCCAAGTAACAAAATGCAAAAAAGCAATCCGCAAAATTCAGCAAGTTTTTCCTCACAGTTAAGGCAGAAATGTGAGGCAGAGATGGAAGAACAGAGCCTGACTTACCTACAGAGTTCTGCTAATTATGATTTAACTTGAGGCGCTGAAGTCATTATTGCCTTTGCCCTCTCTCAAAAGGTGCCAAATCCATCATCCAGGAATTCCCCGAAATCACCATTTTAACTACAGAAGTTCATCCCGTTGCACCGACTCACTTTGGACAGAAGTATTTTGGGACAGACTGACCCACTCGGAACAAACGGATGTGACTTTATGAGACCACAGGAGGGGTTTTTTAATACGTTTCATTATTGTTGGGTTAGTTGAGGGGCATGTTCAAAAACCCTCTTGGCCAAAGGGGGAACTACTTGACGTAGGTTAGTTCTGGTCAGCCAGTGCCTGGACGCTGCATCGGGTACAGGACGGAAGCGCTCTCTCCATACAAAGTCAAGCATCTCAGCGCTGGGGTTGTACAAATTGCTACACTCTCTGCTTTAACTTATTTATTCTTCTATGATAGCCTGTCTCGTGGCTGCTTGCAAGAGCAAAATAAAACAACTGAATCACAAAGGCGAGTCCTTCATTTCTCGTGGTAACGTTTCCATCGCTCCAGGTCCGTGGGTACAGCCGCTCCTAATGCTTCCGGAGCAATGAACTCGAGGTAATTCTTAGCTACTGGCAGATTTTTCCAGTCTCTGGATGGTGGCCAAGAACTAAAGAGACAATTCTTTAATTTTGCTCCATATACACTGTTTTCAAGTCGACAAACAGCTTCCCATTGCGGTGCACGTGTCCTGGCAAACAGGGCGGGAACAGCACTGTCTGCAGAGATCCCACACAGACAGCACGTGTTTTGTCGCTTGAAACCTTGGTGGCTGACTGGGTATCCCTGACCCCCCTGAAGGAAGCAAAGCTGTGGCAAGAAGCTGAACTCTATCTCTAGCTCTGTTCGCAGAGTTAAAAGACGAGCATGGCCCTCGTGGCTTAGCGCCCTTTCACAATATTCAGTGCAGTAAGTATCGATGAGATTAAGCATAAACCTGCAGCCAGATACCTTCTTTCTCTGGCTTTAAATCCTCTGGCACCAAGTACCCAACATCCAGCGTCCTAGCTAGTGTCCTGCTGTAACTTTGGGAAAATTTCTATGTAAAACCAACATAGTCCTTTATTGTTTTTTAAGTACATACCCTTAAGAAGTGCCGGATTACAGAACGTTGTCACCAAGTCAAGTGCTTCGTACCTCGTGTGCCATGAGCGGAACGCAGAGGCCTGGGCTGCCCCAAGCAACACCTCGCAAGGCAAGGGGCAGCCTTTAGTAAATCCTTTTTTTGACAGATAAAGACCCTTCCCCGCTCCAAGCAGTAATTTCAATTAATGAAAGTTGAGTAAGGCTGCCAGAAAGGGAATATTTAGCCCGAGCACAGGCCACATCAGTGTAAATAACCATTCACAAGTATAATAAATTAGCCGAAAATGGGTTTAATGCAGTCCTTGCCCGCAGTATAGGATAAACCCTGCAGGCTTTCTAGTATAAACCGCAATAGAAAATGACAAAGCAGAACATACAGGATATTCAGCTGTAGAAACCATACAAACACTTGGAAAATGCTAGTGAAACGTACACAAAGCATTCATAATAAAGTCGGAATGTTTGTCAGACAGTAAAAACGAGTATCCAAAGCTTTTGTAAAAACCCATTTGATATCAAAAGTCTCTGTGCCCGCAGCAGCATTAAACTCCTGAACCTGACTAAACACCCCCAAGGGTGTCAGCAGGCTCTGGGGGACATTCGCTTCCTATGAAACTAAGGGGTGAGGAACTGATACTCAACGATGTAGCTCAGAGCGGCGGGTCGTGAGCTGAACAGAGCAGTGCTCGCTGTCCGCAGGATCCTTACGAACACCAACCCCAGGCCACACCGACAGCTAAAAAGCAGCTGCGCGTCAGTCACAACAGACCAGTACGGTGAGATCCGTGTTGCTATTCAGCAGTTAGGGCCACTGAGCCCCCCCACCAGCCTCCCGTGGTACAAAGAGGGCGTTACGCCGCGGCAGTTGGCAGCAAAAGGGGTTTGAAGTCGAAGAGGTAGCGCGTTGGCTCCCAGATGGAGCGTTCCGATCCCAGAGTGGCTTGTGCAGTCAGCGTCCTGCGCCAGCCAGAGGTTCCTGCCCGGTCCAGACACCAGCGAGTGGAACCCACTCGCTTTTCTTTGAAGCACGGTAAAACGGGCCTTCTCATGCTGAATCGTAACATACGGAAAGGTCTGTGATTATCTGATGCTGAGATTTCCAAGTTTTATCTTTGAGGGACCCATTTCCACAACAAACATTAATGAGTCGCTTTCAGATGAAAACCAGCTGGACAGACAGGCCAATTCACAAACTACCATGACCTTTTCTATTCCATACACTACTGGCAAAAGGGAAGCTGCCAGAAGTTCCTGGCTCCAACAATGTGACCTGGAATTATCCTGGAATAGCTCCTGCTTAGACCTGTCAGTGAGCGCAGCAGGAAACTGCGATTCCTGTAACTCCTGTGGAAGGACACGTACATGTGACGTTAATGCAGGGCAGCCCAAGAGGTTCCACCTGCCTCCTCGCACAAGCTCTTGGTGCCCCTCTTCCTCAGGGGAGGCCACCTCTCCCTCCATGACATTGCCAGGGTACCAGATGCTGATACGAGGAATTTCTCCCTCCTACAAATCTCAGAGGTTCCTGAATCGGAGCAGGGAAAAAAAATAAACAAATACACCGATGTTTTCATGAATCCACCGGATTTCCATTTCTCTTAGGCAGGGAGGTGCTGAGCTGAGGAGGTGCAGCATGCACTGTCCCCAGTTCAGAAAGGAGATGGGGAGAACAATTTTCTTTCTCTGTTTCCAGGCTTCCCGTGGGATTTAGCCCAGGGTTTAGCTCAAGAAAAGTTCAAGTCTAGTGGGTACCGGGA